TCTGCCACCCCCATGGAAACGGGAATCGCCGAGACTCCGGAGGGACGACGGACCAGCCGGCGCAAGCGGGCGAAGGTGAGGCTCTCCCCTCCCTCCAACCACATCTCCCAGTGCCTCGCTTTCCCGAGGTCGTCCCGCCCCCACCAGGCCCCCGGCCTTTCTGTCCTCCGCCCACCCAGCTCTCCTGGTCGGTCTGTCTCCACCGCCTCCCCAGCAGCTGGATGAGGGAGGGAAGGTCGCTGCCCGTGGTGATGCGGTCTTTGTGCTGGGACCCGGCCCTCCTGGGAGACGGGGACTGATGGGGGGCCGAGGGGGCTCGTGCACCTTTTCCTTTTCCCGAGTGGGAAACATGGCTCCCTGACGTGGAGTTGTGGCTGGCGTGTTGAAGACTCGCCTCGCTCGTTTGCCCCTAGATGTGCCTTTCAGCTGGGAGCCCTGGGGCTGTGGGTGATGGATGCTAAGGACGTGCCGTAGCCAGAGAGACCGAAGAGAAAGGAACCTCTTTTTCGTTCCCTGGATGTGTTGATGTGTGATAGTTTTTCTCTTGTTCTTTTTATTCTCAGTGATCTTTCGCCTTAGATCCTTTTTTTTTTTTTTTTTTTACAGATGAAGCTGATTAAGAGGGCTAATATCAGTCAGCCTAGGTTCAAAAGTATGGGAAGGAAAAGATTTGCCACGGACTAGTATATGCAGACAATAGCAGCCTCGCGTCTCCGGGTGCCAGAAGCCGTGTTCAGAGCTTCATTAACGTTTTATTTTTTGCTGAACACCAAGGGGCAGGTATTGGCCAGCTTCACTTTAGGAATGAGTAAACCGAGGCACACAGTTTAAGCGACTGGCCCAAAGTCACACAGCTAAGTCAGTGGTGGGACCGGAATGTAAGCCCTGCACTTTGGTATGTGGTGATAAGGTCTCATCAGCCTCTGAAACAAAAGGCCACATGGGATACCTCCAGTGTATGAGGCACCGGGCCGTACTAGAGCACAGACTATATTTATTTATTTGTTTTTAATTTTTATTGAATTTATTGGGATGGCATTGGTTAATTATATAGGTTTCAGGTGGACAGTCCGTAATACATCATCTGTGTCTTGTATTGTGTATTCACCAATCCAAGTGCACAGACTTTAGACTTGGGCCTTTATTGGAGATTTCATGGTTCAGTTGAAAAAAACTAGAAATATATGTACATATAATTTTTAAGTATAATTTGTCCATACAAGTTTCCCATCTGTATACGATTTTTAAGTGGGTGTACCAAGTCAGTGTGTATGAGGAACTTCTGTGTGTATGTATCTTAACAGAACATTATTGTCTCTCAGTTCTGGAGTCTGGAAGTATGAAATCAAGGTATCTGGAGGGTTGGCTTTTTTTCTTAGGGCTGTGAGACTCTCCTTCTACCTTCTCATAGCCTCAATATGAGGAGCCTCCTAAGATGAGCTATCAGATTGCGCTGCCCACTTCAGAGCTCTCTCTCCAGGAATACCTTGTGCTAAGTAAAAGGAGGTAAATATTTTCGGGGGCTTTTACCAAAGCATGGGTTAGAAAAGCACAGAGGGCCGGCCCGGCTGGTGTGCCTCAGTGGTTGAGTGTCCACCTATGAACCAGGAGGTCACAGTTCCATTCCCAGGCAGGGGGCGTGT